TAATCTGTAGTCTATTCTAGAACGAAAAAAGACATAATTTATATGCATTTCCAATTTTTTTAACGTGGTTACGAGATTGGTCAAAACGACTAAACCCGTACAGAGATTAATTACTGAAAATAACAGATAAAATATAAAGTTTTTTCTCAAGAAGTGTTTGATAACTATCTCAACATTATAAAGATTTCTTATGTGAAATTTGAAAATTTTATGATGTTAAAAAGTGTTCTTAATCTTAAAATGAAAATTATTTTGCATGTTGGATAGGCAATATGAAAAAAGAAAAAAAAAGGCTTCAGAAAAACATTGCTTTCCAAACTTTAAGACTTAATAAAAAAGATTGATATTTTGCATATGAAAGCATTGTAATGTTTACTGATAATCTGCCAAATTCCGTTAACATGCGCCTACTAATTTAAAAGTTATAGCATGAAAACTATAACAAGCATAAAATAGTTACAAGGTTGGTCCCAGGGATCGAGCCTGTGCTTAAAGAGTTAAATGAACATATCCAAGTATTTTTGCAAAATATTTAGTACATTAGAAAACAAAAATAAGAATAATGATATGACTTCATAGCATTATACAAAAATTATATCTCAAAGGCAGACAGCAACTTTGCAAATTCGATTAAGAAATAGTTCCAGCTACATTAGTTAGATCATGGACTTCTAAATATGCTTGAACTGATTAAAACAGTCAGAAATTAATGTTCTGTGTGTGTGTGTGTGCTTGCATAATATATATGCAAATGAAATAACCAAAAATGCATTCAAGGTGTAGTGGGACAAAAAACAAAACAAAAAGAAAAATCTAAACCAAGTGCAAAGTAGCTGCTAAAGGTGAAACTTAAAGAAAGATAACTATGGAAAAAGATGTTGGAGATATTCATGTTCATCCAAATCACAGGTGAAAAACTGATGTGATATTAACTCCAAAATAACAAGTTCAAGAAGTTTGATTATTGTTCTTAAATCATACTCATTCTTATAACCTAAAAATGATAATACAACCAGCAACAGAATATTAATATTGCAATAATATAATGATCTATACTAACCCTCCAATATAATTTCTATCATAAGCAATATAACCTTCCAATTTTTGTCCTGCATGGTTTGAATACACTTACAGCTTTATTTGCAAGGTGTCTGTGTGTATGCATAAATAAAACTAATATTTCAGAATATACAATATGAGAACAAAAATAAAGAGTACAAGCTAGCTTTAAATGATCTGGTTTAATAGAATATTCATCAGCAGGTGTACTATGAAATAATATAAATTTACCAGAGTACTGATTTACTTTCATGTTTGAATAAAATTATCATAAATAATGTATAAAATTCACAGTGAATAGCATTAGTTAGAAAAAGTAAATTCCATTTATTAGTTGTACAATTGATGACATTCATAAGGATGGCATATTTTTAACAAATCTGTGAACCTTTAATAAATTATTTAATCCAGAAATTACACAAACTTGAACACACTGTATTATTCATAGTAAAAAATTTAAAAATAGCATTAAAACAGTTAACACAATATATTATAATTCACATTGCACAAAAATATTTGTATAAAAAAAAAATTACAGAAATTACATAATCTTCATTCTCATCTGATAATATTTTGCCAAAAATGAGCTATTTTGTACACTTTTATGCATATATCTCTTAAATTTTTTTTGTTTGTTTGTAGAAAACCACTTGACTCTTATTATGTCTAAATCAATGAATAAAACTTAAGGTACCATAGAAAACTCAGAACCACATTTGGTATATTACCTCATTATCTGATTTCTGAGCTGAAAGAGCCTTTTCTTTTAACACCATCCAAAGGCCAAATAGCGCCATTATCAGTCCATGTCCAGCATCTCCAAACATTACGGCAAACAAGAAAGGAAACGTAATGATTGTGTAAGGTGCTAAAGAAAAGAATACTACGTTATTGTGTGAAGCACCTCCACCACTCACTTCCCCACTGTGTGTATAACCAAAAACTGTACATATAAATGGTCTATCAAGGTCAAAATATTTTTTCATTAAATATTACAAAAAGAACCATTTATTTTAGGTTGAACAAATTACGATTCCCTATATACACTAAAAATAATAAAAATCATATATTTGTCACTGCCAATTATCTAAAATAGATTCAGCAAAAAAAGGAACTAGGTGTAATGAGAAAATACCCGCCTCTTTAATTCTGAAAACATTTAATTTTAAAAAAATCATTAGTTCAAGTAGCTTATTGTCAAAAAGCTATCCATGTGCATTAATCAACTTTTTTAAGCATGAATAAAACATATGCAAGATGTACTAATTTTTAAAATAATTTATTATTATACAACAAACACTGTTACTTCTTGTATGCATAGAAACACACAAAAAAAATGCAAATAAATTCCCGCTCTATACAAAACTAAAAACCAAAAAATGATGTTACTTTCTATTTTCTTTTCTCCTTTATTATCTGGTGTCATTTTAAGTAGCATTTTAGATAAAAACATTAAAATCAAGATGCTAAATTGATACTGACTAAGAACACAATAAAGCAGAAATATTTTTATTATGTTAAAATTTAAACAAACTAGAAATGAGTAGATTTATAAGTTACCAGGATTAACTTCTCTATAGCTGGCTACACCATATGCATCAACAATATTCTGAAAACCACGAGTAAACTTGTTTGTGCGATTGTATGTTGGAGGAGTCTCCTTACTGTCCATTCGATTCAAGATGGATGGCACTGTACTGCCACTTCTTTCCTAATTAAAAATACACCTGGTTACTTGTGTATATCAAATCTCAAGAGAGTGTACAGCTAATTTTCTTTACCATTTATTTTATAAATGTTACCTTAAATATGCAAGGTTTCATGAAGTAATGCTTTTTACCTTCTTATATACTTACCTAGGTTAAAAAATTCTGTTAGCTGACTGGTGTAGTAAGACATGATCATAAACAATGAAACTAAGCTAAATATTTAATTACTGGCACAAAAATGAAATAATAGTAGAAGGAAACTCATGAAGAATAAGCTGATCATTCTATTGGTTATAAATAATCTAATACAAATGTCGGAGAGAATTACAGAGATTTTTTTAAAGGTAAAATTATATGGAAGGGGCATGTCAAGTGAACTTGACTTAGTAAAGTAGAAGACTGAAGGTTCTAAATTTTCATTCTGGATTGTCAGTATATCCAGTGTGTGTATTAATATTTAGTTGGAAACTCATAAATTACCCTTTTTACATTCTATAATGACTGCAAATTGTAACAGGAAACCTCATAACAGTATACATCTATTTATTTTTCTTAGTTGTTTTGTTTTATTGACTTTTGAACCATGTAAATAGACTAACTACATCTCTCCTGAAACATGCCAGAAAGCTCATGTAATGATAATTAGGTTTTGTTAAAATATCAAATAAGAGATTATATTATTTTACAAAATTAAATTTTAACTAAAGGATTTTTTCAATGCTTGAAACCAGATGTGGCACACTGTCTACCAGTTGGACAACCCTACACTACATTTACTATATTCAGAGAAATGCACATGAATACCATGAGCACATGTGACAACAAAAACTGCTGTTTTAATTATTGTTTTAGAGGGTTTTTTTTAATAAAGGAATAAAACTTAATTATAACATATTTCATAATAGTATTTTCATTAAAATACATTAATACTAAAGTGGTTTAATTAAATTTTGGATGTAATGCAGTAACATATGCAGAAAGGAATTTAAAAAATGGCACCAGATGTCATAGGGTTAAGTAATCAACTGCTAAGGTTGAATCTGCTGGAGGAAGAACATACTTTACCAACAACCTAACACAACCGAGAAATTTCAGAATTCTTCCAGTGTGTTCTTAATTTTTAGAAATGCTGAAGAAACCAAAGTTATCCAGCCAAACAAAAGTTTGGGATTTTGATTTTTTTAAGAAAAATTTCTGAAACTAACCTAAACAAACAGATCCAAAACTTCTAATACTTCATTTGGTTAAAAATGCAGGAAACATGCATGTATCAGTATAATTAGAATATTACTTCAGATTAAAGCTACATAATATACTCTTATCACAAGTGAAATAATTTTGAGATTTGTTTTTCTTGATATTATCTTAACATTTTAAGTGACATATAAAACTCACATATCAGAAAATTTATACTTATATAAAAAAAATTATGTATGAGAAATGAAATCAATGAAATGTGACAAATTCAAACAATGTGATCGAAAGAGAAATTTATTTTTAGAAGTGTTAAAGAGCACATATGTTCAGGTTCTGGATATTCTTTTAACAACACAGAGAATTTATTACAGAGAGATATTCATCATCTATGGAAATAATACAAGGATGAGTGCCTAGGCCTTACAGCCTGTTTTTCCAACACCAAAAATGTTATATTTTTATTTTGACTACAGAAGATTTTTTCTATGCCTGAGGCCAAAGTTTTACCCCTTCCTCTTTATATACTTACTAAAGTATATTTAACATACATAGATTAAGACTCTTAATCCCCGTTTGTTCAACTAAGGATGTCCATGGGAAATTTCTACAAATTAAATAGCAGGAATTCTTGTTTCTAATTGCATCTTAAGGAGGAATTATCATACTGAGTTGAATATCTGGCTGGGTGTCCTGCCTTATTAAAACCATACCTTATTGGTATCCAGTCCATACAAAGTTAACATTTTCTCATGATATGTTAGTGTCAACATTTAACTTGATAGTAAGCAAAGTCCCCTTTACTTGTCAGAGATTTACCCTACCATTGCAGCTATAACTCGCAACCACCATAAATTCCTTGAAAAACTACAACAACAACTATTGTTAAAATGATGTATGACTAGCAGAATAATAATAAATTGCTCAGGCTTTTGCATAGCTCATACAGCTATCAACAGATGGTCTTCCATTTGGGAGAAACATGAAACCGGCTTCAGTCACTTTTCTAGACTAAACTCATAAAAAAAACTTGTTTACTGTTCTAAGGAAAGTTACTACTTCAGCTGCAATGAATCACTGTGGCCCTGGTCATTTCTAGTAACAAGTTGTCTATCTTTCTTCAGTACCTCCAGTATGCAACTGATAGGCAGTAGTGGGTACCCCCTTTTTTCTGTTGAATCTTACCTTTCCTTGCTTTACTGATATAGTTTATCACTACAGATATCTGTGTTCTTCAAAACTAAATTTTATGCACTACATGCTTTTGTAATTCTGGAAAAAGATAACTTTGCACTGAAACATTCTGTAATGTAATCATTCCAAGAAAGGGTTAATTTTTGACACTATTTACACTTGGTAATTATAATATTTCAACTGAACTGCAACAAGAGGATCAGCGCTTTTAACCTGTGTAGTCATAGGCCATGGTGAAAGTCACTATAAATGCAAGTTATCACCATAGATTGTAAACAGTCTGCTGTAATCTAAACAGTGTTATTACGTTAAAATAGTAAATATTTTGGCCTATTTCTATTCAGTTATTCATAATCATTAAAATATTTTAAAATCATGACAACGATATAAAGTTCTTGAACTAGATGGACTAACCAGTGTAAATATAAGAGATAAAAGGAGTATCTAACACAAGAGACTTACTGTTCCACGCCGCAATGCCATCTGAATTTTCTCAAGATCACAAACTGCACACCAACATTCTGAAATTAGACACTTCTGGGTGACATCCAGGTTAAAAAGATTCAGTGTGTGATAGATAGCTTTGATCTTTCGAACTTTCACAAACCAATTTTTGATATTTTTGGCAGCTGCTACTAATACTCTATGTCTGTGGTCTGTAGTTTGTCCCAAAACCTGGTAAACACAAAGAAAATTAACAGAGTTAAAGTAAACAGAATTAGCAAGCATATACTTAGATAATCTGCCTGCAAGTACAAAATTACTGAAATTTGAATGAATTGCAACAAGTAGATCAAGGCTTATAGCTTGACAGCCTAGATGAATATAAACATAAAAGATAATAGTTTTTGATTGGCTATTTCCTTGTCAAAATGATGCTTCATAATGAACATATACATATTTATCACTTTAAAGCTCACTCAAACAATTTAATCCTTTCCAGACTGAAAAGATGTCACTGATATCCCAGGATGTTTTCCTTCTCACAGTGGAAATGATTAACCAAGCTGTATGAAACGTCGTACAAAATTTCCAAAAAGTATATATTATGTGATTAAATAAATCATTTGACACAGTATTATCATTTTTCAGTTCATGAAATTTCCAAAATTTTGATGAAACTTTTGGAAATATATTACAAATATTTCCTTTCATCTTAAACTTGTAATTTATCTATTATTGATGAGTAACTTCCATTTTATATCTCCATTCAGTCCCTAAAATATTCCTGTACTTTAAAACACAGAAATGTAATTCAAAACAAAATTAATTCATTTTAAGTAATCTTCGAAAAAAAAAAAGATAAACATATATCAGTCATTAGAAAATTCTAATGAATTTTTTTTCCACCTAAAAGACAACTCACTGTATTTAAGTCTTCAATACGAGTCATAACTCCAATAGACATCTCCCTGCGATCAGCTGGGGTTTCTGGACATGGATATAAAGTGGCACGAAAACTAAAAACAAATTTTAAGAAATATATTAAACAGATATTCATTTATTGCTAAAACTAAGAACATTCTTAAGAGGTAGCCAGAAAGAAAATAAACCCACAAATACTCTTGTAAGACATAAGTATAATGGAAGACTGTCTTTGTCAATCACACACTTTACACTATAACAGTTGCAGGAGTTTATACTTGCTATATTTCTACACTATTTCAAATCATCTTTATAAGGTAAACATAAAAATATATAATTTACAATTTTTCATTAGAAATATATTAAAATATTCTCACAATAATCACATTTAATGCATTGTTAAGCAGTTTCATATTCTTATAGTAAAGAAATTTTTTTTTAAATAAAAAATAATGGTCAAGGCAAGTGACAAAAATTCATGCAACATTAGATTCTAGTATACCACACTTTCACATTTCATCTGATATTGGACAGTAAATCTGAATTCTCCATCTTTGGTGGAAGTCTCAAAGAAAGCCTTCCTTCACCATAATAGCTAGTTCAAGTCACAGTAGAATTAGCAAAGGCCATACAAGTGAAATACTTAACATATATTCTGTTCCCTTGTGTGTTCCTTTACCTTGCTATTTATGTTCACTTTATTCTCTGCATAACATTTTCAGAATATACATTATGAATACTTTTAAACTTAACTGTTGGATATCGGTTGAATACAACAACTTTTCCCAATTTGTTTTGCTAGTAAATTGTCAAATGCACAAGGGATATCTTTCTTGTATAACACCTATTAATTCAATATGGAGCTATATACAACAGTCCTTTACTGGATCTAATTTTGAGAATTTCCATGTTTCAAATGTGAATTTAGTATAGTACTGTGATATTGTGCATAGATAAAATGGCTAAATTTGAAACTTTATACAATTAAAATGCGAAATCTGAAGTTTTAAAATAGAATTTTGAAGTGATAAGTTATTTACTTCTTCCTTTGCTATTATGACAAATAATTGGTGAAATATTGCACATTTGATGATGCTACTTCTGTCACCTTTAGTGGCCCTGAACATGTTGATAAGTTTTTGAAGTATCTTAATAGCTAGTAATAAAGTTCACAGTACAACATCAACTTACTTGCTTGCTTGTTTGGATACAACAATAATAGCAAGTTTGAGTGTGAAGTGTACCATAAAAACACATTTACAATGACTAATAATTTGACAGAAATCATGCCTTAAAAATTATATACGAGTAGAATAATGCAAGTGACACTAGAATATTTTTATTGCCCCTCCCCAAATATTTTTGAATACCCACTGAGGTAAAATTTTATGTATTTTCAACACTTGAACAGCACTTTTTTTCAGCAGTTTTCAAGACCCTCTTGACATTTTCAAACTTGTGAACCTTTTTCTTAAGTAATTTGAATATGCTATTTTATATATATTACAAAAATGGCTTTCCATATAACAATGCTGATAAAATCATATATGATTATCTGAATAAAGTCAATATTGTTTAACATTTTAATTGAAACACCCCTGAACAACCTCTACAAATAATATTGAAATATACTAGGAAACAAATATCAAAAGGGAAAAAAACAATTGTATAAGCTCATATAGTTTATTCACATATTGAGTTAAGAGTTATCTTTAAACTTGTATGTTGATGTCACCATGTTTTTCAAGTTGAAGAATAAAATACTGTCATCTAAGTATCTAACATATGAACTTAAATGTCCTAGAAGTAGTTCTATTTACATAAATCTCAGGTCAACCACTAAGTGATTAAGAACATGAATAAAAGATAACCCAAATTTGATGACCAATATCAAATCATGTATACATAATCATGCTCTCATTGAATATGATATAGCAATATATCACTGTTTAAAGTTCTTGTGAGGTGAATTGATGAGACAAATTTACATATACAAATATTTTAATTAATATCTTAAGGCCACAACTTAATGACAAAGTTTGCAGTTAGTTTGTTTCTACCTGTAAAGAATGTAACTTCTGAATTTGTGAAATAACCATAACTGAAAATGGCTTACACTTTCAAGTACATTGAATATAGTTATTTAAGAATTGCTTAGTGATATTATAGAACATAAAATTAATGAATGGCTTTGGAATATTTTTTAGTACTTTTATAAGGTCCATTTTCTTTATTTTGTTGTATGCATCACCTAAATATTCTTAGATTTATTAGGGGTCTCTAATTTTGAACTTATGATCACACGAAAGGCAGCTGGTCAGCAGCACTCACTGCCAACTTTTCACCTACTATTTACCAATGAATAATAGGACTGACCATCACATTACATATATTTTAGCTCCATTTGTAGATCTGCAGTGAGATGTAAAATGATTCAACAAGCTACAATACAATTTCTTTGAAACATTATGTCTGACACCTAGGTAATGAAAAGAGAAATATATTACCAATAAGTTTATAACATACACGTATAACATGCATGTAGTATACACAGTTATATGCAAAATACATTATGAAACTGCTGATCATCTTAGACAAATAACAATATTACAATTATTATTGATAACCACAAAGGTGGTCCTTATTTGCAAGTACATTTTCAGGTTAAAAATTCTAAAAGCTCTCACGCTGTAATTTTGTTCCAATCTACAAAAACAAAAAAGCATTAAATGTTAAACTTGATCTATTTTGGACCTTATTTAGAGATTGCTCATTAGGGTTGAAGTTCTAGACTGCGGTGGCCTGGTACAATATATGTAATATGCAGTGTAGAAACACATATTTATTATGTATTATAAATTATTTATTTAAATTATATTATTATTTTTTTGCATGTACAATAGTATAATTACATTGTTATATGATTTTGTTATGGTTAATCATTTTTACACTGTTACAGTTTCCTTTTTGCTGTTAGGAAAGCATCTTCATTGATCCTATACAACTTGAAGGAGTAATTGTTTCTGTTCTTCTTTCTCTGTTATGATGGCATTATACTCCTCAGTAAGGGTAACAGCTCTTTCAGCATTGTAATTTACCATATTCAAGTGTTGAACTGTCTGTAGTGCCTCCCTGTAGTCCTCTCTGAACTCTCACAACTAAGGGTCATAATCAAGATGGAACATCGAGGCTCCTGAAGAAATCTGTTGTGTTCTTTGTCACGGAATCTTCAATTGACATGTCCTCAAATTTCCCAATATTCAGCTGGATCTACTTTGGGAATTCATCCGTGTCTTCCTTCTCACTTAGTGCCTTTACCATTGCTCATTTTGTCTCTATAGATACAGCTGAATCAAAGAATGCCAAACCAATGAGATCCTCATTGAGGTACCACAGATGTTCAACAAATTTTTGACAAGCAGTTTTGAAAGAGCAGAATTAACCTTTTTACACATAACAAGACATTGTATGAAGTTAAGATCATTATGAGGAGCAGAAATAGCATCAGGAGCAGTGAACTATGCCCTATGAATCGAACAACAAAGATGTAGATGTCATAGAGTCCTCGCTCCTCATGGCCAATGAGTTATCTGTCCCATAAACATCCAGATCTTCAGGGAATATAATGTCTCAGCCATCCATCATGCATGATGCAGTGCTCCAGGTACTATAAATCATGGACCACAAGGAGGGATGCCAAGAAAATTTATGGCTACTTCAAGAAGCTTTCAATAATTATCTCTAAGTTAGCTGACCTAAGTTGTATTGTAGCAAACTCAATGACGTTGTCCTTAACTTTCTCTATACCTACTTCATCATGCTCACCTGTAATTTCCTAATTGGATTCGTTTATGTCTTCCCAAGATTACTGGAATCGACTGAAAATTGCAATATCTGGACCAGAAGAAAGCCCTATACAATCTTTGAAAACACATGTCAGGACAAGTTCTAAGATACGATGCCAGCATGCCAAATTCAGAAGATTTTTGTTCAATCTTTGTTTTAACAGCACATAAGCTCTATTTCTGTGACCAGTGTTGCTTGCTGTTGTGTCAAAACAAACTGCATTTACATTATTGTCATGTGATACAAAATATTCCAGAAGTAAAAGCTAAGTGAATGGATTACTTATATAGAGAATTTTCTTGAAAATTTCTGAATAATGTTGAATACTCTGGAATATTCCAGAATGTGCTAGAATATTTCATAATAATCCAGAACCTACCAGAATTATTTAGAATATTCTGAAAATTGTAAAATGTTCAGTATATGCAGATATAAGATATAATGTGAGCTACAAGGTAAAATTCTGACAACCTTCAACAACCCCTAAATGTTACTCAATATAGGTAAAATATGGTGTGAATTACTTATTTATAGATTGGAACAAAATGAAGGGTGAGATTATGCTTATAAAACTTCAAATTAAGGACCACTCTAATAATCATAGGATTATAATGGTTGCTTAACCATATCCAATTACTCGTACATTACATGCACCTAATGTTTATCTAAATTACTCGTACATTGTGCAAATTGCTAATCTCAAAAGTACCATTTTGAAAACTATAAAAACAAGTGTTGGTTATGTATTTTCATAGTAATATGCACTATTGGTTTTTATTTTAAAATAATGGTAAATAATGGAATGAGCTTCAGTATGGGCACACATGGCTACATGGACCCACTAATACATAGTAGTTGCAAAGCATGCATATTTCATAAACCCAAACAAACCTTTATTTTTACAGGAAAAGCAGAATAGTTTGAATACAAGTATTCTAAAGTGCACTTAATGTGATAAACCTGGAACAAGAGTTCTGTTGCACACTGTTTATTTTGAGTAATATGATTATTAACTAGTCTTCTTGAAGTAATTTCCATACGGGGTAAGTTGATGTGACTAACCTCGTAACCAAAGTAATCATCACAGTTGTTTGCCATTCTAGAACTTTTAATATGTTTTGTGTATCTTCATGAAATTTGGCAAGGTTTCAGTCAAAATTACAAGCATTTTGTACACAAAAAATCTGATTTTTTAATTAAGCATTTTTATTGAAGATTTGTCTATGAATATATGGAATCAGTGATTTTC